ATTAATTTAAAAAAAAAAAGTGACATTTTAATAGAGACTTGAGTGACCTGAAGAAGGCAGTCATGCAAAGATCTGGAGGAAGAACATTCTAAGCAGAGGCACAGTCATTGCCAAAGCCTTAAAATGGAAACAAGTTTGGCATATTTGAGGAAAGATAAAGGTCTATGTGGTTGGAGCATAGTAAAAAGCTGAAGGGTAAGGTTGGAGAAGATGTTTCTTGCCTTGGAGGTAAGGAAAAGGAGGTGGGGTTTTACTCTAGCATACAAACAAGTCACTAGAGGGTTTGGGGGCAGAGGAGTAATATACTACTAATAGGATACTTTCAAAAGATCACTCTGGCTGCTATGCAGAAGATGTACTGTAGGGATCCAAGATTGGAAGCACTGAGACAATCAGGAAACTGTTATAAAGCATCTATTCTGAGTAAGAAGCTAACTTGGGGGGAAAAAATGAGAATGCCTGGACTAGAATCATAGCAGAGATGATGATAAATGGTTAGATTTAACAGATATTTTAAAGGTAGAGCCAACCAGATTTACTGATGGATTGGACATGAAGTAAAGTATGAAGTAAAGATAGGATTTGAGGATGACTTTGAGGATTCTACCCTAAGCAATGGGGAGGATGGTAATTTCCACTTTTTAAGAAGGTAAAGACCTAAGAAGAGCATATTTAGGGGAAAAGAACTCACTGTTTAGTTTTAGGTACTCAATTATTAGTCCAATATACTAAAGTGGGCACAAGCTTGGTAAGTTCAAGAAACAGAAAGGTCATTGTGACTTCAGCAGAGTAAGTGAAGAAGGGAGTGATGAGACCAGGTCAGAGAGAAAGGCAGATGGCCAGATCACATGAAGGACTTTTAAACATTGGAAAGGAATTTGGATTTTATTTTAAGTGTACTGGTAAGCCATTGAAAGATTTCAGGCAATGGAGATATACATGATTTGTTATGAGAACATTATTCTGACTTCTGTACAAAGAATGGATTGTGAAAGGAAAAGGAGCTCCATTAGATGATATTACAATAGTGCAAGTCAAAGATGACTTAGGCCAAAGTGGTGACAATAGTAATGCAAAGAACAGATGGCTACATCTTTGAAGTAGAATAGGAAGTGAAGCAGTTGTGAGATAGAGAAAGGGAAGAGGAGTTAAAAAAAAATTTTTGGCTTGAAAATCTAAGTGAATGATGGTATCATTTACTTAGTTAAGAAACCAGTAAGAATAAAAGGTATTTTGATGGGAGAAGAATATCAGCAAGTTCTTTTGGACACATTAAATTTGAGATGTCTATTGGCTAATCAAGTGGAAATGTCAAGGAGACAATTAGCTATATGAGTACAGAGTTCCAAAATGTGGGCTGAGTTGGAAATAGAAGAGAAAATACAGAGAAGGCAACATAGGATTAGGAAATGCCAACATTTACATGTTTGGTAAAGGAAGAAATGCTGAAAGAGACTGAAAGCAAGTATATATAACATCCAATAAAACTATTTATAGAGAAGGGTCAATATGGAGGCAAAGAATGCCAGACAGTGGGGAAGCTGTACGAGGCTGGAGTTGGAGAAACATGAAGAGGCAACATCCCGCTGGGCCCAGAGGTCAAGGATATAGCACCTCACATCCTTGTGGGAGAACCTGTGCCCTTGTGGGGCACATTAAGGTGTAGGCCAACTGTCAAGAATGCAAAGTGGTGAGGGGCTGGGAACCTTGCCAAGGCATGGGCCAGTGGGCACAATGTTCAATTATATGGGCAATGAAATGGGGGAGAGGGCAGGGTTTGTCATAGTAACAGTAAACAGAAAACACAGAAGTCAGCTCACCTGGAAGATTAGTTAGCTTACATTGATCAAAGGAGCTATGGTAGCATAGTGCCTAAGGCACTTAACTGCTAACCAGAAGGCTGGTGGTTCAAACCTACCAGCCCCTCCTCGGAAAGAAAGTTGGGCAATACTTCTGTAGTAATACCGCCTTGGAACGACTCGACGGCACATAACAACAACATTGATCAAATAAATAAACTGATTGAAGAGATTAGCAAATATATTAAAGATAATGAGAATCAAGTTTATGACTACTGGAGAAAGTATTTACAAGTATGGGAAGGTTAAGAGTAGAAAGAATGCTGAGGTGTTAGGTTGGACCTGGAGGTATTGATATGAACTCATGGTTTTATAATATACACACAGTGATACAGATAGAGTTATAGACATACGTCTCTGTGTACATGTACATATGGCCTAGATATGTCCACTGAGAGAGCCTACATGCAATGACACCCCAGTAGCAATAAGCACACTCTATGCTTTAATTGTGGTTTCTGAATACCATCTTGAAGTAAAAGGAACTACAGTTCCTTGCAGAAATGGCTGATTCCAGGGCTAAGTCAGGAAAAGTAAAAAGCTGAGCCTTGAGTATCTTGTACCAAAAAGTAAGGACATGTTCAGTGAGTGATGGAAACATGTTTAAAGAAGTGCCAGCCAGAAGGGCCTCTTACTCAGGAGCAATCTGAGACTCAAACTAAATAATGACAGTAATGAATTACAACCTGTTGAATCAAACAGAAACTCATGAGCCCACGTTAATATGAATGATGGAATGAGAAAAGAAAGCTCTTCCAGAAAGTACACAACAAAACACACTGCCGTCAAGTTGGACCTGACTCACAGTGACTCCTCTTTGGGTTTCCGAGGCAGTATCACTACGGAAGTAGATCGCCCAACCTTCCTTCCGAGGAGTGGCTGGTGGGTTTGAACCGCCAGCCTTCTGGTTAGCAGTCAAATGCCTTAGGCACTATGCCACCAGAGCTCCCTCCAGATAGTAGTAGAGTGCTAAAAAGTGTAGAAGAGATGATGGGAAAAATCAACCAACTGGAACTATCAAGAGGTAGCTAATTCAGGCAAGATTCATCCATGGATACTAAGGTTGATACATGAAAAAGAGGAATAGAATACTGGCATAATTTTAGAACAAAAATCACCTGATTACAAAAGGGGAAAATGGAATATTTCAAATGAAGAGAACTGGTAAGCACCAGCTTGACAAGATAGCCAAGGTTTCCACTGCAGGTCTTTTGATATAATCCACTAAGAATACAGCATCATATCTGTATATTCCTGCCAAGAACGCATGACCTAAATCTAGTCAGGAGGAAATACCAAGCAAATCAAGGTTGAGGGTCCTCCTACCGAATGTAAATCCTATACCTTAAAAGCTGCCAATGACATGACATGGTAAGTGTCATATTGTTGAATTCCTGGTTTAGAGGGTCATGAAGGAGCACATCCATATTTTTGCAAATACATGCTAGAATGTTTAGAAGTGATGGAACATCTTATTGGAAGCTTACTTTGAAACGACTGAGATACTGGTAAGTGGAAATGGTTGCACAACCTCGTGAATATACTAAAAAAACCTTCTGAATGTAAAGAAAGAAAAAGAACTAATAATTGTTATGTATAAAAAGGGTAAGGGAGAGGATGGAGATAAAGCAAATGCAGTAAAATGGCAAAATTGGGGTAATCTAGGAAAAAAGTGAGTTCTTCATACAGTTTTGGCAACTCTTCTGTAAGTTGAAATTATTTCAAAATAAATTATTTAAAAAAAAAAAACATGATTGGTATGCAATTAGAAACAAATGCTCCAAAGGAGAGGCTGCCAAGAACACTAGGCATTACAATTAAGGTGTTTAAAATAAAAAAATAAGACTCTAGTGCCCAGCCTTCAATACTTCTTACAAAAAGCCCGAGCATGTCAAGAAGTATGGAGCTACAAAGCATAAACTGTAGCAAAATTACCTTTCACTCCATCTAGCACTAAAAATCAAGAAAAATGTTTAAACAAAAGAGAAGAGTAATAAAACCATCTGCTCTTCTTTAACTCATTTCTGCTCATCTTATATTTTGTTTCATATACTCCTAATTACTCCTAATTTTACCCATAACTTTCTTAACCTCTTTCCAAATTTCTCTCTCTCTCAACTCAATCAAGCACATATCAAATCATAACTCCAAAAGGATTCTGAAATGTTACAAGGTATTTACACCTGGAAGGTGTTAGGTAAGATGAGAACACAGGAAATGAGAGTAGGAAGTCAAAAGATTATGTCTCATGAAACTAACTTAACTGAAAATCACTGGACCACACTACCCTGGCTATAAGACATTCTATTAGCAGTTTCATTTTAAGAAATCCTCCAGAGAAATCTGAAGTCTTAATAAAACCAAGAAGGTCACCCAACGATAAAACCAATTCTGGCCCCATTGGAAGGCAATGTTCGTTCATAAATCACATAGACCTTACCTTGGCTGCTTTAAATAACATTTCTCTTTCTTCTAAATCCTTTCTCTGCTTTTCCAATTGATCCAGCTTTTCAAGAAATTTGAGCTGTGATCTGGTATCACTAGACAGGATGTAATTTTCACTTGTCTGGAAAAAGAAACAACAATGTCTTATGACAATCTTGGGTAACACATTCTACATTAGGTAGCATGATACATCAGCTAACACCAACATACACAGCAAACTAAATTTTCAGGAGACAATATTTTTCTATACACAAACTTAACAAAATAAGAGGAATTTTAATCATCCTTAAATTTTAGAAGATGAGTCAGCACTTACATTTCATCAGTGTCTTCCCCCCCGCCAAAAAGGAATTAAGTCAAGTAGATCATAATAATATTAAGTAGAAAGCAAAAGAATATACCGTCATCCTATAATCTGTATCTTTTTATTTAAATTATTGTCCATGTATAGCATACTTCAATATGAGTAATTAAATCTTAGGCCTGTAAAAGGTATAAAGCAGTAGACGATCACCTCACTGAAAAATATAACAAGGATGAACGTCATCACCCTGCTTTCCATTGCTGGGATGATCTAACCTTGACAAGTGAATACAACTACTGTCAGAATGAAATAAAAGCTAAGGTGGCAAATACTAAAATCCTGAAACCTTATTACGATGAATTCCTTAAGCAGAGAATCTGGGCAGAAACTATAGTCAAAGAAACCAAGTATATACAACTTATAAATGAAAGCCAAAGTAAAGCAGCATAATTATTTGTCTTAAATGATTCCGTAAGATGAGAAAATTCAGATTCTTCCATTAATTCTAATACTCTCTGGTGGCATAGTGTTTAAGGCATTTAACTGCTAACCAGAAGGCTGGTGGTTCAAACCCACCAACCACTACTCGGAAGGAAGATTGAGCAATCTACTTCTGTAGTAATACTGCCACAGACACCCAAGGAGGGGTCACCATGAGTCGGACCCGACTCGATGGCAGTAAATTTTTTTTTTTTTTAAGAGTATAAAAACAGTGTTTCCCAATCCAGATATTTTTTATTTTTTCTTCTGACATGACCACATATTTCTTCAATACATGTGTGAGCGTCCTGGGTGGTACAAATGGTTTGTGGCCAACGGCTAACCTTAAGGTTGGCAGTTTCAACCCACCAAGCAGCATCATGAAAGAAAGGCCCAGCAACCTGGTTCTGTAAATCACAGCCAAGAAACTTGCTGTGGAGAAGGTCTACTCTGTTAACACACGGGATCGCTGTGGGTCAGAACAGACTTGATGACAAAGGGTTTGCTTTGGTGTTTTAATACGTGTGTGAGTGTGTGTATCTTCTCAGTGGATTTTTAAGATTTCCTGACATCCACTAATCTCAATCCACCACCATCTGTCAGTTTGTTGTACGGTGGTAGCTGCATGTTGCTGTGATGCTGGAAGCTATACTTTGGCATTTCTAAGGCAATCAGGGTCACCCCAGTGGACAGGCTTTAGCAGAACTTCCAGACTAAGAAAGAGCTAAAAGAGAGGCCTGGCAATCACCCTGTGAATCAGTCAATGGATGACAATGTACTATTGTCCAATATAGCACCAGAAGATGAGACCTCGTGGTTAGAAGGCACTCAAAGGATGACTGCACAAAGGCTGTGTCCTCAAAGTAGAGTCGACCTTCACGGCAAGGATGGGAGTGAAAAATTGAGGACACTTATCTACCAATGTGACGCAACTTAAAAGTGAAGAGCTGCAAATACCTACTAGTATACGACACGCACAATAATGAACTCAAACACACACCAATGATGGTGCAGGACTGGACAACAACATGCATTGTATTATATAAGGTCATCATGAGTTGGAGCTAACTCTATGGCAACTGACACCACCATCTCGGTAATTCAGACATCAAAACTACAGGAGAGAAATTGTAGGGAGTAGAGAAATTGTTTCCAAACATTTAGTCCACCAGTCAGTGACTGGCTCAGACATCACAGGTACAGTAGCATTCCCAAAGTTGATTCAATTAAGTGGGGCTGAGAGATTTTATATTTACATTCTGTTTGTTTGTTTTTAAATTTTACTGCATTTTTAGTGAAAGTATACGCAACAAAGTAGTTCCTATTCAACAATTTCTGCACGTAGTATTCAATGATACTGGTTACGTTCTTCACTTTATGCCAACATTCTCATCACTTCCATTCTCCTTGTTCCATTCCCATTAACCTAGCCTCACTGGCCCCCAACCTTCTTACCCGTGCTTCAGAGTGACTGTTGTCCATATGGGCTCATATAATTTTTTGAAGAGTACAGTACTCAAGGATGACATTCGTTACTTTTTTAACTTACCTGCTATTTAGTTAAAAGGTGACTTCAGAGGATAGTTTTGGCTCAAGGTTTAGAGTATCTTAGGGCAGTAGTCTTGGGTATTCCTCCAGTCTTAATGCATCTAGAAGTCTGGAGTTTTTGAGAATTTGGAGATCTGCTCCACATTTTTCTGTCTATCAGGGTCCATCTCTACTGTGACCCTCATCAGAACATTCAGTAGTGGTAGCCAGGTACCATTTAGTTCTACTCTCAACGAAGAGGAGGCTATGGTTCTTGGAGACAATTGGTCCTATAATCTAGTTCCTTCTCTGATTCTCAGATTTCCTTCCTTCTCTTTTGCAAACACAGACTAATAGTTACGTCTTAGATAGCTGCTTGCAAGCTTTCAGGACTCTGGACATCACTCACCAAACTAGGATGTAGAACATAAGTTTATGAACTATATGATACTACCTGATCAAGTTGTCCCACAAGAATATGACCCTAACTAAGAAAACCAATTGTGTGAGGTGATTGATTGTGTCCGAGAATTGTCAGCATTTGTAACCTCTCTTTGTTTTATTTTATATATATCTACAAAACTACACAAAGGAGCTGTGGTAGCATAAGGCATCTGGCTAATAACCAAAGGATCAGCGGTTTGAACTCATCAGCCACTCTGTGGGAGAAAGATGAGGCAGTCAGCTTCCACAATGATTTACTATAACCATGGAAATCCTACAGTTCTATTCTGTTCTATACAGTTGTTATGGGACAAAACTGACTTGATGGTAGTGGTTTGGTTTTAGCTTTATATAATTATATACATATTTGATGGCTGTTTTGCAAAATGATATATAACGCAGTATATCCTTTTTCCTATGCACAACTTAGTGGCATCAGTTACATTAGTCAACCTGTGCATACTTCATTCATTTTCAGTGCTACCTTTCCCATCACCATAAACAGGCAGTAATGTCTATCTAAACGATTTCCCTTCCCTAACTCTAATAACCACCAATAAACACTTGTCTTTTTATGTATACCTAATCTTGCCATTTCATAAAAGTTAGCTCATACAATATTTGTCCTGTTGTTGTTGTTGTTATTTGCCGTCGAGTCGCCCCCGACTCATAGCGACCCCTCCTTGGGTTTCCGAGGCAGTATCACTATGGGAGTAGGATTGCCAACCTTCCTTACGAGGAGTGGCTGGTGGGTTTGAACCGCCAGCCTTCTGGTTAGCAGTCAAGTGCCTTAGGCACTATGCTACCAGAGCTCCTATTGTAATTGATTTATTTTGCTCAGCATGATGTCCTCTGGGTTATCTACACTGCAAGATGTTTCAAACTCATTTTTTCTTTGTGGTTACATAGTATTCCATTGTAAGTATGAGCTATATTTTGTTTATCCATTCATCTGTTGTCGGGTGCTAAGGTTGTTTCCAACTTTTTGCTATTGTGCATAGTCAGGCATATATCTGGTTTTATCTCTTCTACTATATCTCTAGGATATATACCTACAAGTGGAATTATTAGGTCATGAACAAAAAACAAAAAAAACAACCAAAATCCACTGCTGTCAAGTCAATTTTGACTCACAGGGAGCCCCACTGGGTTTTCTAGGTGGTAAATCTTTATGGAAGTAGATTGCCCAGTCTTGCTTCCTCAGAGTGGCTGGTGGGTTTGAACCACCAACTTTCTGGTTAGCAGTCAGATTCGCGTCGATTTCAACCCACAGCAACCACTCCTTGGATTTTCTGAGGCAGTATCTCTACGGAAGTAGATTGCCCAATCTTCCAAGGAGTGGCTGGTGGGTTTGAACCACCAGCCTTCTGGTTAGCAGTCAAATGCCTTAAGTACTATGCCACTGGAGCTCCCTTACTAGGTCATAAGATAGCTAGCTCTGTTTCAAGCATTTTTGAGTAAGCACCATACTATTTTCCATAGTGGTTATACCATTTTATATTCCTACCAACAGCAGAAAAAGGTTCCAATCTCCTCACAGCCTTGCCAACATTTGTTGTTTTCTGTTTTTTCTTTTGATTAGTGCCACTTTAGGAGTAGTAAGGTGGTATCTCATTGCAGTTTTGATATACATCTTTCTAATGGGTTCTAATGGGCAATGATGTTTGTCAGCAGGCTGAATGTTCTCTTTGGTTAAGTGTCAGTTCATGTCCTTTGACCATTTTTTGACTGGGTTATTTTACTTTTTGTTATGTAGATTTTTAAAAATATATATATTTTGGATTTAGACCCTGGTATGGATTAAACTGTGTGTCCCAAAAATATGTCATAAATCCTACCCCCATACTTGTCGGAAAGGAGCTCTGGTAGCACGGTGCCTAAATCTGACTGCTAACAAGAAGGTTGGTGGTTCAAACCCACCAGCCACTCCACAGAAGCAAAGCTGGGCAATCTACTTCCATAAAGATTTACTGCCTTAGAGACCCAATGGAGGTCGCTATGAGTCGGAATCCACTCGATAGCAATGGGCTTGTTTTTTGGGTTTTATACCTGTGGCTGCAGTCAAATTTGGGAATAGTTTTCTTTGTTATGTTAATGAACAGTGATAGTGTTGGGTATGTCAAGTCAATCTGCCTTTTTCTTCCCTCTAAATTTTATTTATTTTGTTGTTGAGAATATATACAGCACAACATAAACCAATTCAACAGTTTCCACACACACAATTTAGTGACAGTGTTACATTCTTTGAGTTGTGCAACAATTCTCAGCCACCTTTTCTGCGTTTTCCTTTTTCAATTAAGATAAACTGATGGCCTTCCAAGGTTCCCATCAAATATTCTGAGTTATTGTCTTCAATTTGATACTAT